AGTAAAGGATATTTTGAAAAAAAAAAATTTCTGTATTGTGTACCAAAGAGATGCCTCTAAAAGCAGAATACTTCATTTCTAACATTCTGCATCAATAAATATTTCTTATTGCACTCAGAAGTGGGAACTTTTTTTTTTTTTTTTTTGCTGATTTCAAGTTGTCAATTCTACCTCCACCTACATTCATGTAAAAAATATTTCCCTTATTCTCTTTACAGATTCAGAAAACTATTTTTATACTCTTTCTAAATATATATACTTTGTAGGATTTATCATTGTCAGAAAATATTTTTTTCCTCATTTTGTATTTAGCACCAATTTCCGTCGCAATGCCAGGAATTAAGCTTATGCACGAAAGGGGTTTGGGAACAAAAAATGGTTATGCACTTATGAGTTGTACACTGTGTATAAATTTAAAGTCAATCGGATATTAACTTTAGCCTCTAGAGTGTCCACAAGATTTTTCAAAGTGATCAAGGGCCATAACTCTGGCTGTAACTATCAGAAATCGCTGAAAATCAATAGGCTTCAATCGGATATTAACTTTGACCTCTAGAGCATCCACAAGATTTTTTTTGAAGTGATCAAGGGCCATAACTCTGGCAGTAATTATCGAAAATCGCTGAAAATCAATAGGATTCTTCTAGTGTTGAAACCACTATTCGGATATCTGTTAACGGATACAAAATAAGGGTTATCCGAATCATTTTACTATCCATTACAGTCTTCGGACATTCCGTATGCTCTATATTTAGCCATTTTTTCATCTGATTACTTTGAAATTTTCCCCAATGCGATTGATCACGTACGCAGCTTTGAGCATTAATGTTAATATCACGCGTATTATTTAGCGATAGTAACTAATAAAAATATTAATGCAGTGTAACGAAAACAGTAGTCTAAATAACAAAAATATTCATTCATTTCTCGCGCCGGTTTACACTAGATAGAAGCTACTTCTTGGGTTTACGGGATACAAGTTAACACTGTGTTTAGACTCCCCGCAATGAAATTTATTCATAACGACCTAGGTCACGTATATTCTCACTTACTGATTGGTTTAATAGCAGTAGATTATCAGATTGAGGCAAACGACCTTGGCGGAATAAATGTTAGTTTTTATTTTACTTTTTTCATTCGTGTTGATTGAGCAAAAATGATTAGTGGGAGGGCTGCGGATTACAGTAGTTAAACACAAATTTATTCACCTCATTGATTTTTTTGGATATCATTGATAGTCTTAATAATTGCGGCTAAAGGTAGGTACGTTTTTTTATTCGCGGCTCAAACATTTTGCAAATCGAAAGTAAGATTTCATAGTCGGCATACACAAACACTCATAAACATTGAAATAAGTAAGAAATTATGAGTATATGAACTTTTGATGTGATTTTGTATGAAGAATTTCACGTTTCCGAATTATCCGAATAGTATTTGGATAGCAAACAAAAGTATTCGGATCACAAATCTCGATTCTATTTTCAACACTACGTCTCATGACTAGGGTGACCCGTGCACTCTACAGACAGTTGGTCTCGACACGGCTAAATGTGCACGCTTCAGTTGCGTGTTTCGAACTGATTTCTGACTACCCCGCACTCTCTTTGAGTCGATAAATAGCCATGGCACGTGCAATTCTCTACAAATATATCAACTATTACAGCCGTAAAAAATCTATTGTTGCCGATTTTGAATAGCAGTAAAATTTAACTTCTTAGTTATTACAGCAGCTTTAGAAATTACGTTTGTTTTATTTTTTAAATTGCTTTATCATTAACTGTACCGTTAAGAGCGGCATCTTTTGGTTTAGTACAAATACTATCTCTGAATCACTTTCTTTAGCAGGAACATGATACTAGCAGTAGTTTCATTTTACTTTTACAAGTTTCTTAAAACAATTGTTGAGTTGTCTAAAGTGCTTATTTCTAAATTCAATTTCTTGTTCTAGCTTTCTGTTATGTTTCGTAAAAAAGTAGTCTTGATTATCCCGACCTGTCAATCAGACGTAGAATGGTCGATAGACTGGTTAAGCGAGACTTATTTCAAAACAAGGGCATGTAACCTATCTTTTACTCAAAAGTGTCTGGATGTTATGGACGACATTTGGAACCAGTTTTCAGTCTATTATTTATAGATGATTAATGGTCATAGCTAATTAAGTACAACATGATCATTTATTTAGTGACTATAATTGTGTGAAACTGATTTGAGGCTTGGCATATATATAAATATTGTGGCGTAATTGTCGAGATATTTGGAGATATTTATTTATGGTGGGTCACCCTATCATGACCTTAAACACTGTGTATAAATTTAAAGTCAATCGGATATTAACTTTAGCCTATAGAGCATCCACAAGCGATTGTGGACGCCGGACCGACAGGCGGACAACAAAATATGACCACATTTCAATGTCGGCGTATAAAAACTAAAGCGAACCCTGTTCTAATTAATAATAGGAACATTTAAAATGTATCTTTAGGTGGTCTTAGCACCGAACTTTTACTTTGGATCGTCGAAACAGATCTTGCATAACAGAATCAAAACACTTTGAAACCAGTTTCAAAAATATGTAAAGATAGGTTGCCAGGCAACGAAACATACGCCCACAGCAGCTAAATCGTCCGGGCAGTCAACAAGTGTTGTCGCATATTTTTACTTCTTTCGGTAATGAAACATTTATAATACACTCATGAAGTAATTATCAGAAAACCATTAGAATTTGTTTGGTTTTTAATATCATGGATTTAGCTGTTCAAGTCATAAAAATTCATTGAAAATCAATAATACTTGTTCTTCTCAAGCTCTTAGACTCTGTGTGTATCAATATGAAGTCAATCGGATGATAACTTTAGCCTCTAGAGCGTCACAAGATTTTTTGGAAGTGATCAAGGGCCATAACTCTGGCAGTAATTATCAAAAGTCACTGAAAATGAATAGACTTCTTTGTCTCATGACCTTAAACACTGTGTATAAATTAAAAGTCAATCGGATATTGACTTTAGCCTCTAGAGCGTCCACAAGATTTTTCAAAGTGATCAAGGGCCATAACTCTGGCAGTAAATATCTAAAAAACGCTGAAAATCAATAGGCTTCTTCGTCTCATGACCTTAAAACAATGTGTATAAATTTAAAGTCAATCGGATATTAACTTTGGCCTTTAGAGCGTCCACAAGATTTTTTGAAGTGTATCTTTAGGTGGTCTTAGCACCGAAATTTTACTTTGGATCGTCGAAAAAGATCTTGCATAACAGAATCAAAACACTTTGAAACCAGTTTCAAAAATACGTAAAGATAGGTTGCCAGGCAACGAAACATACGCCCACAGCAGCTAAATCTTCCGGGCAGTCAACAAGTGTTGTCGCATATTTTTACTTCTTTCGGTAATGAAACATTTATAATACACTCATGAAGTAATTATCAGAAAACCATTAGAATTTGTTTGGTTTTTAATATCATGGATTTAGCTGTTCAAGTCATAAAAATTCATTGAAAATCAATAATACTTGTTCTTCTCAAGCTCTTAAGACTCTGTGTGTATCAATCTGAAGTCAATCGGATGATAACTTTAGCCTCTAGAGCGTCACAAGATTTTTTGGAAGTGATCAAGGGCCATAACTCTGGCAGTAATTATCGAAAGTCACTGAAAATGAATAGACTTCTTTGTCTCATGACCTTAAACACTGTGTATAAATTAAAAGTCAATCGGATATTGACTTTAGCCTCTAGAGCGTCCACAAGATTTTTCAAAGTGATCAAGGGCTATAACTCTGGCAGTAAATATCGAAAATCGCTGAAAATCGATAGGCTTCTTCGTCTCATGACCTTAAACACTGTGTATAAATTTAAAGTCAATTGGATATTAACTTTGGCCTTTAGAGCGTCCACAAGATTTTTTGAAGTGATCAAGGGCCATTACTCTGGCATTTATTATCGGAAATCGCTGAAAATCAATAGGCTTCGTCTCACGACCTTAAACACTGTGTATAAATTTAAATTCAATTGGATATTAACTTTGGCCTTTAGAGCGTCCACAAGATTTTTTGAAGTGATCAAGGGCCATAACTCTGGCAGTAATTATTGGAAATCGCTGAAAATCAAAAGGCTTCTTCGTCTCATGACCTTAAACACTGTGTATAAATTTAAAGTCAATCAGATATTAACTTTAGCCTCTAGAGCGTCCACAAGATTTTTTGAAGTGATCAAGGGCCATAACTCTGGCAGTAATTATTGGAAATCGCTGAAAATCAATAGGCTTCTTCGTCTCATGACCTTAAACACTGTGTATAAATTTAAAGTCAATCGGATATTAACTTTAGCCTCTAGAGCGTCCACATGATTTTTTGAAGTGATCATGGGCCATAACTCTGGCAGTAATTATCGGAAATCGCTGAAAATCAATAGGCTTCTTCGTTTCATGGCCTTAAACACTGCATATAAATTTAAAGTCAATCGGATATTAACTTTAGCCTGTAGAGCGTCCACAAGCACTTGTGGACGCCGGACGGACGGATGGACGGGGGCGACGACAATATACGACCAAATTTCAATGTGGGCGTATAAAAACTGTCAAATCAAAATCAATCCGAATTAGTTTTACAACGCATGCTATACATAATGATACTAGTTGTCTGAAAAAAACAACTGAATAGTTTCATGGCTGGACTCCAGTCTGCAGACAATGTTCATCATCACACTCCATCAAGGCATTCGCCTAATGAAGCCACACCAAGTTTGAAGATTCTAGCTCAATTAGAAGGAGAGTTTTTGTGTTCCAAAGTATCGACCAATCAAATTGCTTATCGCTCTGCTTACACTCATCAGAAAATGTTCATCATCAAACGTAGTCAAGGTATTGATGTAACAAAGCTATATATCAAGTGTCCTAACCCTCCTGAGCTTACCACTTCATACCCATTGTGGGCTATGCAAATATTGAGTAAAAATCAAGCTTTAAACCCTGTTGTGAAAAACCATGCATACCTTGAATATGAATGTGACTACAACTGTAAAATTGCAGAAGTATATCCAATATATATGACTTGTGATTTATGCATATTTTTAGTTTAGCTTTTATGGTTACCATGGTTACCAGTGGGTTTCAAAATGGCTGCCATATTATTGTCTTAATTAACATATATACAGCTAGGCGACAGGCTAATAGACTGGCAGCCAAGGTTTGATTAACTTAAGATTGAGGACCAAGGTTTGGGCATACATAGACTTTATTAAGGCATATAATATACATAATGAAAGTAAATGCACCAATGCAAACAATAAAGTCTGATAAGCAAAGACTCCAAGGCCCAAACCTGAATTCATTATTTATTATTGTAACTTGTGTTTAAGTGTTTAGCCATAGTAGACACAATCTGTAGGCGACGAGAAGGCGTAGGGTCTAGGTAACGTTTATAGCAGTCGCTGGCCCAGTCACCCTGAACTTGAATAAGATCAGTAGGGACATCACAATTAAAGGCAAACGAAGCACCTCCTCGCCGAAAACTATGTCCAGCATACTTAGAAGGATCAATGCCAATTTCCCAAAGACATTGACGAAGGATACATACAAATTGAGAGTATTTTAGTGAAATCAAGTGACCTGAGTGAAAGTAGGAGAAGGCAGGGGCAGTAGGAGGGGCTGGGTTATTAACAAAGGCTCTCTGACAAGCCATGACAGGACAAAGGGGAGAGTTGGGGATCCTAGGTATAGGAATTAATAGTTCACGTTGCTGATATTGAATGACTTTTGACCAACGAACTTTAAGGAGGCAAACATTATCAAGGAAAGTAAAATCAGACCGTAATAAACAAGATAACTGGGAGGGTAAGTTCGGATCAAAAAACAAGTTCGATTTGCGAAAAAATGAAAAAAATGCAACAAGGCAGGCAGTCCCAAAAATTTGATCAAAAAAATTGCCCAAATTAATTACTGCGAGAATACGTTCTAAAATGCTAGGTGTAATAGGTAGCTTGGGTGAGATGCGGTGACCCAACTGTCGACGAACACCTCTTAAAAAAATGGAAACTGTCCAAACGGCAAGGAATCGGGCAGCCTGGCTTGTTTATGAAGTAATTTAACAATATTAAGGTAGGCAATTATTGAGTTAAATGACAAAAACTTGCAAAGCCAAGTAATATAACAACATAAATCCTGAGCAGTTATTGGTAATGGAGAAATGTGAGCTTTCTTACAAAAGTGAAGGTAAGTGCACAATTGAGTTAAGTAAGTTTTTTTGGTATTCGGTGCAAAGCAAAATCCATAGATTGAGGCTACTTGGTTATCAAGTTTCTTAAGCATTGTTGATCGTGCATTTCCTGCAAAAGAAATTGTTCAGTTTGGATAGACATATGACCAGTGCAAAGAGAATGATTAATACAATGAGTTGGGAATAGGCTGTGCATACATGTATGGCCAGGCAAATGTAAACGAGATATATGATCAGCTAAGGTATTGCAACTGCCAGGGATGTGACGGGCTGTAACATGAAAATTAAAAATAACAGACAACCAAAATAACTGCCTTAAACAATGCATAATTAAGTTATTAGTGCGACAAGAACCCTTATTTATACAAAACACAGTAAAGGCATTATCAGAATATATAACAACTCTGCGATTGGCAAGGTAGGGAGCCCACCGAAATAGAGCAATTATTACTGTCATTGTTTCTTTGAAGTTTATGTGTAAGGGAGATATCATTGGAAAGTCAGCACGCCAGTTCACATAAAACCAGTCACCTGAGAAGAAACCGCCACCGGAATCTTGACAAGCATCAGTCAATAAAGAGGTCACAGGAAGTTTATCGAGCATGAGTGATGTCCCATTAAAATGTTTCATACACTGGTGCCACCATTGGATATCAGCTAACAGGCTACTTGACATGCGAATGCAATGATTTTTGTGTGCTAAGCTATTAATAACGTTTAAAATCCCCCGAACAAAAACTTGTCCGCCACGAACAACGCTAGCTGCAAAATTCAACTTCCCTGCTAATGACTGCAATTGGCGTTTTGATATGCGAGATTTGGATAAATTAGCTGAGAGCAACTCCTTGAGGGAGTGCAATTTGTCACTAGGTAATGTTAGTGTCATATCCACTGTATTTATTTGGATCCCAAGAAATGTCAGAATTTTACACGGATCAACAACCTTCTTCCAATTAATATTAAATCCAAGGGAGCGTAGAAGCTGAAGAAGCACTGCATAAGTTTCATGACAAATCTCTTTACTGCTGGAACAGATGAGAAAATCATCCAAATAAACAACCATCCCGGGATAGCCGAGTCGGCACATGATTCACCGAACAGCGTGAGGGAGGCGATGAAATATTCCAGGGCTTTGTTTTGCACCAAAGGGTAGTTTATTATCATAAAAATAGTGCCATGAACCATTGATCCACCACTTTAGACCAGTTACTTGACAACTTTGAGAGTTAATTGGTACAGAGCGGTAAGCTGCTTTAAGGTCTATTTTTGCCAAATAGAAGTCTTTTTCGATTAATCGGACAGCATCATCAATAGTCTGATATTTGTGGTGGTCCAGGGTTGAAACGTAATCGTTCAAAGATTTCCCTTCAGGAAAACTGCAATCATGGATAAGATGAATTTCCGTACCCCCTGGTTTGGGGACAACACTAATAGGGCTGATGATGGTAGGCTTTGAACTACCGCAATTGTAAACAGGAATATAATTTCCATTTTCAACCTCAATTAAAACTGCCTTGGTAGCTAGATCAAAAAATTCTCCCTTTATTGAAGCAGATGTATGGTTAGAGTTCTCGACAGGTTCAGGCAATGCATCATTGTCAATAAGTGAAAAGCCATTTTTTATGCCATGCAAGATGAAGTCGCGATCTGGATCATTTTCCAAATATTTAGTCCACAGGGACAAGCAGGTATGAACTCCACGGTTTGCTGCAGGAGGCGAGGGTATTAAAGTGGATTCGTGCCCCGAGCGGGCTGCTGACCGTTTTTTGAAGCATGAGAAATGGCAGAGTGAAATTGGAAACATCCAGGTATGAAGCACACATGCTTAAATTTACAGTCACTAAAGGAGCATCCTCTAGTGTTGAAGTTTCTGCAAATTACATCACCACTTGGGGTGAAAGCACTCACATTGGTCTGCTTGTATAGGGTTAGGTAGCTTAGGGACCAAATGGAGTGTCTGTAAATGTCCAACTATCACTCCCCAACGAAAACAATGGGAGGCTTGAAGCTGCCGGTATTCCTTATCATACCTCAAAACAGAAATTCTATCATATCGGATAAACAATTCAAGGATTCTTGTTGTGTATGACAAGTAGTCCATAACTAAGTCAGTGGACGGATTCGATGAAATGAGGTGGGTCATTATACCAATATTAGCCAATGACCATTGTAGAAAAGTAATAGATTCCAGTCTGGGCTTCCGAGGATTGCTGCTACGTAGGAGAACAAGGTCCTCACCACCTGCGGTGCTGAACACAATATCTTCATCGTCTCCCTGCATTGCACGGCCATAAGAAAACCCTGGTACAAAATCCACAATTTCCAAAAATTTAACTTTACCTTCAATTACATGATGCTGTTTTAACACCAATTGCGGGTTTTGCCAGGACAATTCACTAGTTAAATGTGCCGGTTGTTGAGATGTAGACTGTAATTTAACGAACAAGGCGTTTACATTGTCCGAAGCAAAATTATCGTTCAGTCCTCCACTGACTCCATCGCCGGTATTGTTATTATTCGTCACTTCCGCTTGACCTTGACCCCTCATCGTCGCACGCTTTACCGCAGCAAGACATAATTTTCGTTGACCAATATTCAAACACTCAATGTCCTCGCTTGCAAGCAAAGCCAAGGCAGCAAAACTGTCAAATCCCATTTCGAAAAGTTTAGTACACGTATTTTGATGAATTGAGCAGTCTCGTAAAAAAACAATAAAATCCGGATCCACACAATCACGATTAGAATGACTAGTACTAGGACCAGTTTGAGTTTGCAATCCGCCATTGGCAGTGTGATCGTCGATCGAACAAGACATATGTTCATTGGCGTCATCGCTTTTTTCACCTGACGGCATCTCGTTAAGATCCACTAAATCGTCACAACTTTGTTCTGCAATAAATTCTGTGAGGCGTGCTGGGGTTGATTTCTTTCGTGATGGTCTAGAGCTGGAATTTTGAGCCATGACAAGACAAAATGCTGCTACTGCAAGAAGCGATCAAGGCAAAGAGACGCAGCAAGTGCAAGGCAACGTGGTGTCGTGTGCAATAACGCCTAGAGGGATAGTGCAATTGACAATGCCAAATATGGACATAACTTCCCATCATGCAAAGTAAATTGTAATGACATATTATGTGAATTAAAACAAATTAAATGGGATTTAATATAACAATAAATGAAATATTGGATATTTTCTTGCCATTAAAAAATTCAAGATGTGCAGGAATAAAGCTATATGGATTATTAGCATAATAGATATCTCTTTTGTAAGAATAGAATGGGTTTTTGTGGGAAAGTCACTAAATTGTGAGATAATGTTTTTTTTCTTCTAAAAATAATAAAATGTAAACGAGCAGTATTGACATTTTTGCGGTAGACAAAAACAAATATAAAAGTCATCAGTAACTAGATTTTATTAATAAAATAAAAATAAAATAAACATTTGGAAAATAACAATAATATATACCAAAATATCCACATTAGGGTTGCCATGGTAACCAATTTGACCACATCGTATACATTTATATTAGCAGCCATCTACGTGCGCGACTGTATAAAAGCAAACAATTTCCTACTGAGAAGTCTTCCTTTTTTTTTGTCTTTACTTTGTGAAAAACATCAGAATTTTCATCAAAAGAAGAGTCCCCACTTATAGTATAGTCACTACCTGAATCCAAAATAGCCGTGACGTCATCGGGATTCACGGCTAAATTCAGCCGAAGTCTTTTTGTTGTGAAGGACGCCATTCCTCGGCTGTTCTGACTTGATGGTTGTTCCGTCAATAGAGGACCCCCTCCCCCTCTAAGGTTAAAACCATGCTTTTACAGGGGAGTAAATCAAGTTAGATGAAGTTCCGGACTATCGTCCGGTGCCGCTCTGACAGTCCGTACATTCACGTGTGTTTATTCATTCTATACTTATAAAAACATGGTAATGCACAGACTTTTTCTATTTTTCTTTCATGTTCTCTTATCTAGTGACAGTCAATTTTTTTATGAATTGTCAGATATTCTTTCACAGTCTCACACAACAACTTTTGGTCTTCGAAGGAATTATTAGTGAGAAGAAATTCGCCCATGTATCTGTTATCACCCGTCATTTCAGTCAGTCATATAGAGGGATAACTCGTGTTTTCCGTTTGTGTTCGTCACTTCCCATTGTTGAAACATTGATTACGCATCTATCGTAGCAATGATCTCTGTGATAAAATAATATTTGGAACGTGTTTAACCAGTTCTATCACATATGATAATGACTGCCACCAATATTGTCCTTTAATTAGAACTAAAGGTATGGTGTCCTAAAGAATCAACCAATCAAATTGCTTATCTCTGCTTACCCTAAGCAGAAAATGCTCATCTTCGAACTCCATCAAGGCATTGACCTAATAAACACCTATACCAAGTTATTGTGTCTCCAAAAGTGTGATGGAGAGAGAGACAGACAGACGGACGAACCCATTTTAATAGTCTCCTGCTTTCATTGAAAAGCGGGGGGGGGGGGGGGGGGGGGGGGGGCGTCAAAAAATAGGTACCCAAAAACTAAGCCAGACTGGCTCATTTACTAACCACATGAAACTAGTTGCAAAATGTTCAGCATATCTACATGTATCAAAAATCATCGATGCCAGACATTTTCAGTGGTGGGGTCCATACACCAGACATCCCTAATTGACCCACCACAAAAGCTAGACTAGACAATTTACTAACCAGACATTTTTGGTGGTGGGCAGGGCTCACACTGAAGGTCACAAATTGTGATAAAAATATGAAAGTGGCGATTAAAATTTGATTTTGGTGATATAGGCCCGCTACATGGTCCTCCCAAATAAACAAACTATACATTTTTGGAAAGCTTATAACACCAGGAACACAAATCCAGATAGTTCCAAGCAAAAAGTCTGCACTAACTCGATTGAGGGCCAGATAAAAATTGTGATAATTGTCAAGTAAATGCTATATTTATACTAATAATTGTGAAATAGACATAAAATTAAATATTGGCAAAAACACCCGATGCCTTCATCCTATGCAAAGAATATGCTGTTGGTTAAATTTTGATTTAAAGCAAAATGCAGAAAACATAATGGACAAGGAAACATACAGAATTTCGGAAATCCATTTATGTAAAAGGAGTTATCTCTCTTTACGGAAAATATCAATAATTATTGATAACAGTAAAAGGATTTAACTACAGACACAAGGGCCTATATAAGTTCAACCTTTTTTCAGATAGAATTTGAAGATAAAGGTCTAACAAATATTTAACCTGAAACATAGCATCTACAGATATTTAGTTTTCTCACTAAAATAGATATGGCCAAAACTAAATAATACCGTAATGGGAGTGACAATATTGTAATGAAGAGAAAAAATATCAAATGGAGTTTAATATCTTACTGTTCTGTACCAACCGGTATATTAAAGATGGGCGTACGTCATACAGTATTGTTTGAGTGTG